ATATATATATATATATATATATATATATATATATATATATATATATATAAAGCTAGCTTTCTTTCTTTTTTTTTTTTTTTGGCTGGTCTCAAATCCACTGGCTCAGGCAATCCTCTCACCTCCACCTCCCAAAGTGCCAGGATTACTGGTGTGAGCCACTGCATTTGGCCCTGGTTCCGTGTTTTAAGCCGGGCTTGAGAAACAGTGAGTGGACTTGGTCTTTTTTTGTTTTGTTTTTGAGGTTTTTATTGTGAGTGTTGTGGGTGTATTTCTGGCAGCAGGACAGGGGCGGTGGGGCAGGCCCTCCCAGAAGGGGCCAGAGGCGGCCAGGTGCGGCCAGGGGGTAGAAAAAGATGGGGAAGGACTTGAGTTTTGAATCTTCAGTTCCCACGCCATCTGACAGAGGGCGCAGGGCAGACAGAAGCTGAGAGCCGCCCAGTCGTGCCCTACTGAGCCCTGGATATGGTAGTGATCGTGTATGCTGGCCCCTGGGCTGATAGGGTGCACAGCAGCACTCGCCAAAGTCGTTGGAGATATGGCAGGTGAGGCACAGAGGGGTGAAAGTGCCGCACAGACAGGCATGTTGTTGCAGCAGCCTGTGAGACTCTGTGCCAGTTACTGAACTGAGTCTGGTAGCAGCTGCTGGTGGCACACGGGGGCAGACTGGTCACGGGGTAGGACATGGTTGTAGGACCATGATGGCAATGATGGAGACAAAGTGATGTGAGGTGTGAATGACAGGTACTGGACTCCGTTTCTTCATTGAAGACTGCCCTGTAGCTTACATGTGCCAAAGTGCATGGGAAAGAATGTTTGTTCTTTTTCCACAGAGCATCTCATGGGAATATTGTTCCACAGAATAAACTCTGAGAAAGCTAAGGCCAGAGAGACAAGGGCATGAATTTAAGGTCATGGGGTTGAGTTAGGGGCAAGAGTGGGCCTGGAATCCAGGACTCTTTATTTCCCAGTCACTGCCCCTCCTATTTTTACTATACCAGGCTGCAGTGCCAGATGGATGGCAAAGGCCAGAAGCCCAGAGACCAGCAAGGGCCTGAGCAAGAAGAACCCACTATGTGAGCTGCTCCAGGGTAGTTTTTGTGAAGCTTCTGTCACTTGTCCTCCTGGGCAACTTCACGTACCTCCTGTACTTACCATAGCCTGTCATTTTAATTTTTTCTCTGTACATTTATATGACAGCATGGAATTATACACGTGACCAGAAGCAGCTCTTCTGACCTTCTAGGCCCTTGCTTCTTGTACTACCCCTCGTTACAACTGCATCTTGGGCTGGATGTGGTAGCTCATACCTATAATCCCAGCAAATTGGAAGGCCAGGGCAGAAGGATCACTTGAGACCTGGAGTTTGAGACCAGCCTGGGCAACATAGTGAGACCCCATCTCTACAAAAAACAAAGAAACAAACTACATCTTGGCAACCCAGCCTAAAATCCCACTTCTCTCTGGTTGCTGAAATTGTGCCTTCAATAATTCGAGGCATTCCAGTGCGACTTCTGGTGTCAGACTGCCTGGGCTTGAATCCTGGCTTCACCACTTACTAGCTGTGTAGCCTGGGGCAAGTTAACCTTTCCTTGTCTTAGCTTCCGGATCCATAAGAGTGTCTATACCTGAACTGTTGTGTGAATGGGCACTTAGTAAGTGATCAATCAAGATAGTGAATAGTAATCCGTTTAGTCATTATTATAGAACCAACTGTGTAGCTCTTATATGGCTTGGAGACCTTGGAATTGGGAATTACTGAGCTGGGTCTGGTAGCAACTGCTGGTGGCACACTGGGGCTGACAGGCCACTGAGTAGGAAGGACATGGCTGCAGGACCGCAATGGCAGTGATAGAGACAAAGTGATGTGATATGTGGATAATGGCACGGGACCCCATTTCTTTATTGAAGACTGCCCTGTAGCTTACATGTGCCAAAGAGCTTGGGAGTGAATTGGGAATCCTGGGGCACATTTAAGTGGAGCACTAAAACAAATGAGCCCTGTTGTCCAGTAACTCATCTAATTTTGTATACAAGCATAACTTAAGTTAAAAATCCAATTTGTTTTCACATGGTCAGCAGGGATCAGTAATTCAAAGTGTTCACGTGACTTTTCTGGCACAGGCCTGGAAGGAGCACTGCCAGGCTGGAAACATTTCCCATTTTAGACCCTAAGGACCTAGAATCACTAATGGGCTATCTGACCTTGGATGACCACTATTCAGTTTTATTTTCTGTAAAAATGATGCAGTTTTTTTGTCCCACGAGTTGGTGAGCTGAGCCCCCAAGGAATGAAGTTCCCGAGGCTGCATTGTCAGCCTGAAATCCAGGAGGTGGCTGAGGACACAATGGCATCTGGATAGG